TGCGAGATGATCTCTTCACATCCATCAACAAAAGGACAGCACGAGGGATGGGATAGGGAGGGTGAGCTGAGACAAACCTCCCAGCAGGACAAGGTTCAAACCCATGGCGCAACAGCCCTCCCCTCCATCACTCCTAGTGCCCCCCCTTCAGTTACTCATTTCCTTCCCCACTTCTTCCCAGAGGTCCTGGCACAGCTGGAACAACAGGTCAGGCTGCACTGGGCTCTGCAGACACTGTGAGAGCTTCTCTCGCTCTGGGGTCCCCCACCTCCTCCTGGGCTGGAGCACATTTACGAGCCTTGTGCTCCCACCTAATAAAATGCTTACTCACTTTCAGCAGGCGCTGACATCCCTGGCCGCGCATCGCTAGATAAGGACTATAAAAAGAACGTATCGCTATTATAGGTGATACAGCAAGATGTATCCTCGAATGAAAGATCCTTTGTGAGGCTGGTTATTATTCTGGCACTAATCTCAGAGCTCTCTCCATGGACCAGGCTCAGCCCGAGTGTTCGTAAGCACATCGCCGCCGAGGAGCAGCGCTGCAAGGTGTCACGTTTTGCCTTCTGTTGTTTCGGTTCATCCTCAGTCATCCCAAGTTGGGAAAGCACTTCCCTCTTCCCCCCACGCGTGTCAAAATCACCTCTTGCCATTTCGATGCAGGGAGCCAAATATTGCCTTCGTACAAACAGGTGCCGGGCTGCATATGTCAATAGAATTACACCTGTGTGTAATGGGTTTGCATTTGGCCCTTGAGCCCCAGGGATCCCTTTGGGAGCTGAAGCTGTATTAAAAATTAAGGGCCTTGTTCTCCACCCTTGCCTACGCTGTGGTAATTAAATCTCGGCGCAGACCCATCGATTTTCAACCTTGTGTGAGAAGGCAGTGCTCAGCACGAGGGAGGGGCAGAGCCGGCCCTCCAGGAGCAGCACAGCCACGTTGCTCCCCGTAGGAAAATCCCCCAAGAAGGAAACGACGCTGAGCAGGAAATATTTCCAAATTCTTGGGCAAAAGAAGGCAAATGGTCTCAAATTATACATTTGCTGAAACCGTTGCCCATTCCTTCCTGCAAGAACAGCACTGCTGGGTGGGTGACCCACTCTGCAGCACGCGCAGCGCCTGGAGCAGCTGCTCCCACCTCTGCAGGGCATTTGGGTCTCTGTTCCTCCTCGGGATGCACCTGGAGCCCTCACCTGCATAGGTGTGAGTATTACTGCCAGTCCTCATCTTCTGAGCTCGCATGGCTGAGAAAAACGACTTCAGTTTTGCTTTAAATGCCAAGTAGTTTAGAAGTGTGACGACTCATACTGTGCTGTTATTCTTTCCAATTGAAACCTAATGATGCGTGCATATCACTTAACTCTGATGTCAATAATCAGCACACCACTTGGTCTTTGCCATGGCTATTAGAGGGAATGAAAATGAAATACCAACTCCTTTTTATCCTGTTACTGTACCATAATAACTAATAAAGGAGTAATAAGTGAGACGTGGGGAATTTCCAGGGGAGTCATTACTACAGAGCAGACCTAAAGGCACAAAGTGAAATCCGGGAATATTCTCCAGCCCTGAATTCCCAGCTAACGTTTCTCACTGCCATACAGTGTTTACAGAAAAAAAAAAAAAATAAAGAACTAATGTGTGGAAAGTGTCTGTGTCATGGCTGGAGTGGAGATGGACCCAGAATCACATCCTTCAGGTAAAGACTGTCCTGTACTTCAGCACTGAGGCTGAGCCACAGTCAGGGTGTGCTCCATCGTTTCCTACCTCTTGCTTCTGCTCCAGTATTTGGGAAACGTTTCCCAGGGTGGTCAGTGTGTTTTCCAGGGATTCTTCTACAGGAAAAGCCATAGAAAGACCTCAGAGCAGCGGGCCAAAGTAAATCATGTAATGTAACACTGAGTCAATGAGATTGCAAACCACACGCAGGTTGGACAGTGCACTTTCTGGCTTAGAAATTATTGAATTATTGGTTGGGAAAGAACCTTCATTTTTTGGTGGTCATGTACATAGGGGACAGCAGGGTTCTTTGGTTTTCCTCCCCAGAAATAGATTGCCATTTATCCATCTGTATGTAAAAACCTGTAGGAATGATCCCCCCCCCCCCCCCCCCCAGCAGCATCTGCATGGGTAGAACTGGGTTTCACACGGCAGAATCTGGCATGGGTGGACTGAGATCTCCACCTGCCACTGCTTCTCCTGAGCAGCACCCACAGCACGACTGTGCTGGGAGGAACTGCCAAATCTCACAGACCTGCACGTTTACCAAAGGAAAGCCAGCTTGGTTAAATCCCAGAGTGCATCTCCACCATTACCAAAGCATTTCCCAGCCATCTGATTTCCCCATCCCCGAGTCCCTGCTTTGTTTATCCTATTAATTCCAACCACCCCCTCTTCCCCAGCACACGCAGCCTCGTTTACAGCAGCTCCGCCAGCAGAACCTCCCCAAAATATTCGGGACACAGCGTGGATATCTCACACGTGTGGGGAAAACCCTCGTGACTACAGCTTATTCCTCGAGAAAACATGATCTCGTGATTATTATTTCTTAAAAAGAAAAGGAAAGGGGGCGGGAGGAAAGAAAGGAAAAGGGGGGGGAAGGAAAAAGCGGGGGAAAGAAAGGAAAAGGGGGGGAAGAAAGAAAAGGGAGGGAAGAAAGAAAAAGGGGGGAGAAGAAAGGAAAAAGGGGGAGGGAGGAAAAAGAAAAAAGGAAAAGGTGGGGGGAAAAGAAGGAAAAGGAGCGGCACAGCCACTTCCATCATCTCTCGGTTCTCCGTTCCCCACCCGCTGCTCTCCAGCCCCGCACCGCGCTGATCCCGCAGCCCCTCCGGCCCCCCCCCGCTCACAGCCTCCCCTTCCCCGGCTGCTTTTCTCCCTCCTCCCTCCCCTCCCCGCCCGCATTTCCTCCCTGCACCTTTAAGAAGCACATTGCTCGCCGGTGGGATGGTGTGTGCTAAAGCTGCACAGAGGAAGTTACGCAGTCCGGATCAGGCACGGAGATAAAAGCTCCGATTGTGAAAGTGATAGCAAACGGGATTTCAGCCTCGACATTAACTTGGGAGGGGAGCCGGGCACCGCAACGAGCTCCCGGCCGCCCGCCCTTGGGGCCCGACCCCGGAGTTGGCCGCTCCTCGGGATCCCCGAGCCGCAGAACCCCCCGGTAAGCGCTGAAAGTTGGGGGGCGCGGGGTGGGGAGCGGGGGCTGCGCCCGGCGCGGCCCCGCAGAGCTGCGTTATGGGTTCGGGGACGGGAGATCCATCGCCGCCCCCCGCGGTCCCCTCACTCCCATCCTCTCCCCGCCCTGCGGGAGCGCCTCGCCCCTACGGAACGGGCGGAGGGAGATCAGCTTCGGATCTCCGCTTCGGAGTTTCCAGCTGAGAGATGCAAAGCCGGAGATGCTCGCGGCACGTTTCCCGTTTTCCCCACTTTTTTTTTTTTTTTAGCCCAAACCTCGAATTCTCGTAACGCGCAATGAACCCCGTGGCATCGCTTGGTCGGGAGGCACAACCGCGTGAAGGAGCGCGGCTGCCGTAAGCGAAATGCACGGGTTTTCCTTCGGGGAACGCGGCGCTCCTCTGAGCTTTGCCGTATTCCGACAGCTCCGTCACAGCGGTGCTCCCAACCCCGCTGCTGGGGATGCGGGGAAGGGCTCACATCGCGGGGACGGGGAGGGACGCACAGCCGAGCTCCGTCGGCGCTGGGGTCGGCGGGGACAGCGGCTGGGTTTTATTTTCGAGGCAACTTCTGAAACTGAGGACTCCTCCGTTGAGTTTACTTTGTGTCCTTAATTCCAGAGCAGCTCAGTTGTTGCTCGGCGCTGTCTCTTGATTTCAATTGGGTGTTAATCCAATAAAAAAAAAAAGAAAAAAAGAAAAACAAGGAACCAGCTCAGCCGAGATACAATCTAATTTTGTGTTTTTAATACTCTGGCTATCAGTCCCCTGCGATTGCTGCACACGCCTCAAAGAAAACAGAGAGCATTGATTGTATTTGTTCCCATGAACTGCAGTTTCTTAATATTATCGGGCAAAGATTTATTTGCTCGTTGCCGAACCAAGGCAAGCAGAGCAAAGCCTTTGGGTCAGAAAGCCTCTCTCCCCCGTTCAGGGTGTGCTGGCTTATCTCAGAGCCACCCCGTGCTCCTATTTCTGCAGGGGGTCGCTGCTGTTGGAGCGCTGCACCGCGTGCCCGTGTGATTGACCACCTCTCAATTCCCAGGCAAATTACTTCCCTGGGAACCTACAACATTTAGCAAGCGTAACAAGAAACTAATAGATATTATAGATCTTCTCTTCCTGGGTTCTTCCCTGACAGCCGTTCAAGTGCAAAATATGGTTTTACGGCTATGAAAATAGATCCATAAGCGTAGCAGCGGTGGAGCCCTCATTAAAGGCGCTGGATCCCAGCGCTGAAGTCTCACATGCTGCAGTTGTTGGGTGCTTGGCTGGGACTGCTTGGATGTAATAATGAGGAGCTGACTTATTTTAACTGCAAAGACAGCTCTGATGTCAGTGGGACTTCTAAACACACTGTCACGCCGCTTTCATATTTTTACTACATTTACTCATGATGTAAAAATAGCAGCCAGTCTATTCTTTCGTTGGGAGTTTATTCAGGTCCAATGCGTCTGTAATAGGCTCCTCTCTGAGAGCCAGCAATGAAGCATGAGAGATGGCTTCTCCCTTCTGAACTCATTCATCTCAATCAGAAATCTTTCAACCAAAGATTGGGGAGAAGGGGGGCAGTGGCACAGCACTACGAATCCCCCCAGCGTGGATCGATGCGCCCACTAACCTGGAGTCTTTGAGCCTTAGTGAGCTTCGTGAGAAAGCAAACGTGGTGCTGAATGAAGGAGACATCTCCAAATTGTGGGAGAAAAGTTGGAGGAGCCAATAGAGAGAGAATTACCAAGAGCCGAGTATCTGCTCTGGATGTCTGCTCCCACCTCTCCTATGATGCTTTCTCTCCACTGCTGGCCAAGGGTTTCACTCTCCTTTTTCAGCTCTTTGTCATTTGGTTTTGCAATTACTAAAGATTTGTATAGCTCCAGTGGAAAGACAACAAAACTGCAGAATTGTTGTTTTCACCTGAAATTACCAAGAAGGTCATTGCTCCTTGTATTGAGTAAACCTTAAGTGTTATTAGGACTTTAAATTGCTTTTTATTAAATGTTATTGTTCAGATAAATCATATGTGGGGATGTTGGACTGTGGATGCGTCTCCCCAGCTGTCACATTTATTTGCTTATCTCCTTAAGACGTTCAATTTTCTGTCTGTCCCCGGTCTGTGTCTGCATATTCTCCATCTTCTAATGACCTCCAGCTATTTCTTGATATTATTTGAAGACTCATTAGGGCTATTGTTGTCCAGCTGCCATAAAAATCAGATACTTTAAGCGGGGGAAGCTCTCCTTCCAACCTCCCAAACAGCAGAAGAGCCATAAGCATCTTACTATGGATTTCTTTTTATTAAAGTTGTATATCTCCCTTTTACAGACCACGCCGTGTGTCAGGGATCACAGACCCAGCTGAGGGCTGTGTTTCCCATGGGACCCTCTGGCCTCATTGCTCCAGATGCACTCCCACTCCCTCCCAGCTCATTTGTCTTTCAATTTGCAGCTGCAGCCCGCTAATGAACTCCCCCTTCGCTCTTACCATGAGAGAGGGACCAGACCTCAGGTAGCAGCGTGGCTCACAGCTGAAGGCTTGGGAACTCGATGCTCCATTGCCAAAAGACACAGACAGGCAGACAGACGAGCGGACAGACAGACAAACTGCACGCGGTGCCTCCCTGTACTGCAGGAGCAGAGGACGGCGCTGCCCATCGCACAGACCCCACCGATGCCACCAACCAACACAGCGGCTCCAACCCCATCAACCTTTGGAAGAAGGGGACTGTAGCCCCAAAGCTCCTCTCTGCCAGCTCCCAGATGCTACAGTAATTTGACACATTAACGTCCCAGAGCCCCAGTAATTGTCAAAGCAGACCACAGTTTAAGGTGCTCTACCCAGTGACGCGTTTGCAGCAGACAGGAAGGTCGAGGAACACCTGATCCAGCACCATCCCGCAGCCTCTCCAATTTGCTCCTATCAAATTTCATCAGCGACTCAGAACTTGATCTTTCTATTGATTGACTGGAGTCACCTCTAGATATTTTCATGCTGATTTCGAAGCTCTTTCATACGACAAAAGGGGAAAAAAAAAAAAAAAATGAGGTTAAGGAAGACTTTTGACCACTGAGCAGCAATCCAGCCAAAACTTTCCCAAGCAAGTCATTTGCAAATTTGGCTTCTGTGCAGAGAGAAACTTTCCACAGCCGAACACAACGTGGGATCACTCCTATCCTCACCCTGACCTCCCTAGAGTGGACCATCTGTAAATGAGGAGTTTCCATGCTGAACCTGAGAGCACCCCCTAGCCCAGCAGCCGCCTCCCCCTGGACTCCCAGCACGTCCCCAGCCCAGGGCACCCACGCTCGGCCTCAGCTGCCATGCTGTACCTGCTGGCTCTCCTCCTGCACCGTCTCCCCTTGGCCATGGGACAGTATGACATTTGCAAGTCCTGGGTGACCACCGACGATGGCCCATCATGGGAGTTCTACGCCTGTCAGCCCAGGGCCATGAGGATGAAGGATTACGTGACGGTCAGAGTGGATCCAGCAGGAATTACATGTGGGGACCCTCCGGAGAGGTTCTGCACTCATGTAAGTATTTCCCTCCTTGCTAGATGGGACTGCGTGTGGGTGGCCAGGAAGAACATCCTGCTGGGTGCTGCTGGAGGGACACTTTCACTGTGGGTGGTGATGTTGGTGTCACATTGAGCAGGGTTGGGTGGTGGAAAGTAGTGGACTTGTTTGGGTGGTGGGGTCTGAAATTCAGATCTACCCACCCAACAGTGAGTGCATCACCTGAACTTCTCCGAGCATGGATCGCAGAATGGCTTGGGTTGGAGGGGACCTTAAAAATCGTTGAGCTTCAACCCCCTGCTGTGGGCTGGTTGCCTCACATCAGCTCAGGCTGCCCAGGGCCCCATTCAGCCTGGCCTCGGGCACCTCCAGGGGTGGGCACAGCTGACTGGGATGTCACTGCTGACCCACCCCAAAAAGCTGCCAAACCTGGGGCACTGCGCCAGTAGCACCTGCATGGGGCTGTGTTGTACCAGTGGGGACCTCAGAGTGGCTCCAGTCCACTGATGTCCCCAAACCCTAGCTCTGCTTTTGCCCAATGTGAAAAGAACCTGTGGACAGATACTTGCCCTTGTAGTTAAAATCTTTTAACTTATTTTCCCTTAAATATTAATCATCGCATTTCATTCCGTGCACCACAAAGCTCAGCAGGAGCACCTGATTTATAATTCACAAGGCTTTGCGTTGGTAAAAAGAGTTCAGGGGTCAAAGCAGAGAGTGCAGCAACGTGGCCACAACGTCCCCTCCCATTGCCAGTGGTGACAACTCAGCCCCCAGTGCAGGCAGAGCATCCATGGGGGGCACCGAGCCAGGGATGCTGGGGAAGCACCACACTGCAATTAGAAGTGCAAGAGGGAAAGGAGGCCAAGTTTCTGTTGCCAGCATTGTCCAGGTTTGTACACCCCGTGCCTCAGTTTCCCCCTGGGAAAGCTCCCCAGCTCAGGGCTCCCCATGAAAAGCCAAGAGGAAAGCTCTGATACACCGTGGGATGTTGAACATTGAGACCATCACCACACGTCACCATATTTACCCCATTCTGCCCAACCTACAGGGGCTCATTGAAACCAGCGCCGTTTCCCCTAATTCCAGCAAAGCAGCAGCTTTTCCTTTTAAAAGATCATTTGAAAGAGAAGCTTAAGCCCAAGGATGCCAACAGAACTGTTAACTCTTGGTAGGGCAGTCCGGACTTCCTCTTATTTGTCTGCAGAAGGATTAAAGATGAACAACAGATCGCTTTCCGCTTTGCTCGCTCTTTGCAAACTCCCTGGCTGACGTTGCTCAGGGCTCCAGCCCCACTGCCCTCCTCCAGTAAACGCCACCACCTGAGATCAGCTCTCTGCCTCCCCCTGTTCAGTCAATATCCAGCTGAAACCCTTCTACTCTGGGTGCCAGCAGCATTTCCTCGCAGTGCATGACAGCACGTGTTGCACCACTCGCACACACCGCGTATGGCCGAGAGTGAGAGCTGCACCAACACACAGCATGGATTCCCTGCCTGACAATGGGGCAGAAAACACAGCAAAATCCCAATAGATCCCCTGAGAAGAGGGAAAACAAAGAGCGTTGGGTGTTATTTTGCAGCCCCCTCCACTGCCTTTCCCTGTCCTGTTTTCAATTCCCTTTGTGTTTTGATTATTGTCCCACAACAGGTGGGCTCCCATATGAGCCCAGCTGTACAGCAGAGAATTTCTTAGGGTGACTCTGTTGCTTTCTTAGTGGCTTTCAAAACAGCAGGGTGCTGTCTGTGAACTTAAACCAGCACTGCTCAGAATTAACCCTAAGCACAGCCCCATAGGATGCCTACGCTGCTTGGATAACTGTAATCAAAACAAAAACAAAACACGCAGACACACAGTGCCAGACAGGAGGTGGGCAATGAATCCATTGCTGGAGGGAGCACCAGGACCCAATGGGGCAGCACCAGGACCCCACGGGGCTCTGAACTTCCCAGCTGTGCCTATGGGGGATTACACAGCTCCCAGCCCGTTCTCCTGGAGGAGGTGTGGGGGGATGTGAGAGTTGTTTGAAGGATCGTTTTCTCTCTTTTGCAGCAATTGCTGGTCACACTGGGCTGCTCTATTCTGGCAGTGCAGTGTTTTGCTGCTCATTAAGATTGGGAGCTTTGATTTGTCCCCATCTGTTGAGCTGTCCCCTGGCCATGTCAGTACCCTTTTGGCAGCATCACCTGGAAACTGCATCGTGCCTTCACTCCTCACAAGGAAACAAAAGCTCCAAGGGGTTCCAAGTCACCTCCAAAAGCAAAGTGGGAAAACAGCAGAAGTGTTGGCAGCAACTGTCCCATGGCAGTTCTGGAGATGGAAGCAGTTATTTTCAGGTGTTGGGATGGCATTCTCGTTCAGTCGATGCTCTTTGATGCAGGGTGAGCTCTCAGCCCATATCGATGGGTCAGGGGTATTTTTATTTAGCGTCAGCATTGTTTCATCAGCTAATAGGGCCCGTTGACTTTGGCATGGCTACATGAAAGGAAGAGGCTTTATTTATTCATTACACATTGAGTCGAGGCTGACGTTTAGTTTAATTCTTAGCTAAACTTTTCTGAATGACACGGGCTTATAAGGCTTGTGCTAAAAGCTATTTCTCTTATTAAACAGGGTGCTAAAATTGGAAAAAGCAGACAAACTTCTGAGCACGGGAGCTCTTTCCTTGGGTTTCTCAGCTCTGCAGTCACCCCAGGAGTCAGGATGAGGGAAAGGAAAATCCCTTCCAGGAGAAGTGATGTTCTCCCCCTGCACTGAATCAGCCCACCCTTGGCCTCAGCAGGGCTGGACTCAGAGCTGGCTGTGCCCCCCCTGCACGGTGCTGGGGACAATCACTGTGCCTCAATGCCAACTTTCAGCAGCACAGGAAATCCACTCCTAGGTGTTAAAATGACCCCTCAGTCAGGGATGGGACGCTGCCTCTTTCTGTGTGCAGTGTTAACAGCCCCATTCCCCTCTCAGTACTCCAAAACATTAACACAACATCTGGAAAATCCTCCCCTGTCCTTGGAGGAGTGCCTGGAACTGGGAACTGCTACTATTTGCAAAGCTTCCCTAACCCACATCAGCACTACTTTGCAACACAGGAGGAGGACTGGTGACTTTCAGTCCTGTCTTCCCCCCACTGACTCCCCAGCACCAGGGCTCTGCACAGAGCACCTCTGCAACCCAGGTCAGCAGCTCCCTGCCCCCAGGGTCAGAACCCCTGGACCACACAGCATTGCTGCCCAACAAATTGCACGCTGCCACAGAGGCCATTCCAGTGCAGCAGGATTTTGGTGTTACAAAAGCAGAGGCTTTCCAGAAAACAAGAGAATACAGGCTCAGCTTCAAATTAGAGAGTGCTGAGCAAACAGGATTTCTTCCCCCCCCAGTCTGCAGCAGTTCCCTTAAATGCCCGATTCGGGATTCATCACGCTGCATAGCAGGATGATGCTTTCCTAACAAGAGTCACTTCAACGTGCTGATGGAAAAGGCTCAGCGATAGAACCCAGACTGTCAGGTAAATTTAATTGGTACAGTGAACAGAAAGTTTACTCCCACCTTGAAAGAGATGAGTGCGAAAGAATGAGCTGCTCTCAAGAAGAGCTTCACTTAAGCATAGCATGAAACAACCATACAACAGCAAAAGTGAGGGGAATGCTCCATGCAGCAGGAGCCCACGCAGCAGGTAGGTGGGTGCAGGGGTGCCCAGCACCACTCTCTGCTCCCCCTGCATCAGAGCACTGCAACAGCACCTCTGTTCCTCGCTCATCCCACCCCCAACACTAAGCTCTGCCCTCCCCCATTCAAACTACCCGGACCTCTTACGGAATAAAATATTAATGGCAGCGTAGCAAGCCTCTCTGCAAAGGCTGCATGTATTGAGCTCACAAGGCGCTCAGGCTTTTAGAGAGCAGGACACTTTTCCTACTTCCTAAGCGTTTTCTGAGTCCTGAATCAATAATGCACTCCGGGTCCAGCAAACAGGTCGCTGCCGTGCTGCTGGTAGGGGCTGGCTGTGCACAGAGCCCTTGCTGCAGCAGGGCACAGGGTGGGATGGGGCGACTAGATTCACAGTCAGCCTGCAGGGATGTGCCCTGGGAAGAGCAAAGCTTGCAGTTCATGGCAAGCTAAAAGCAGTCACCAAGGTTAAACCTGTGCATCCACGTGTGCTTGCCCATGTCTGCAGGTTGAGGGCCCCCAGCTCCACACCTTGCTGGTGGATCTCATGCTTGAGGTCACCCCTTAATCTGCAAACCCACCAAAGGAGCAACAGTGCAGCCCCATTCCAAAGTGAGCCCAGCCCTGCTCTGCAGCATGGGGTTATTACAGCTCAGCAGGGATTACCAGGTCGGAATGAAGGAGCGCTCACAAATGATGCCATGGGAGGAGGCCGGGCTGTGTGTATGCACCCAGCACAGATTATCTGCTTAGGAGTGGAATTTTCCATGCGTCTCTTAACCCTCACATCACCCACATTTGGGCTGCACACACAGGTTTGGGTCCGAGGTGACCCTATACTGCAGCTGGGGCTGCTCAGGGCACCCCATAGGTTTGGAATTGCCATCACTGCTGCAGTGCCAGTGCTGGGGTCCTCCTGCAATGGGTCACCCTTGCAACAGGCTGAGCTCAGCCAGGTGGTTGGAGTTGGTTGTGTCAGTGGATTTTTCATCCATTACTGCCTGTGAAGGGATTTGTGTGTGTGTGTGTGTGAACGTTGCTATGAGGATGGGCAAGGGACAGGGGTCAGCCCTGGTATACAATGGGCAGCAGCTGCCTTCCCCCTCCCTTTGCACTCCTGTGGTCCAGAGTTGGGTGCAGACCCTTTTCACGTGGGAGTATTGAGGAGACTATGGGGAATGTTTCCAAGAGTATGGGGTAAGAGCTGAGGTTTCCTTGCTCTTTACATTAAGGCTGAGTTGAGGAGCAACTAATGCTCAACTGCCCAGGATGTGCTGGGTAATGCCAGACCCCATTCCTCACCCTCTGCCTGCCTCAGTTTCCCCACCAGGGGATGGGATGCAGTACAGCTTATCT